TCTGTGTCTTATGAAGTCATCAGGAAAACGAGTGGATTCAGACCTGTCCGAGAGGAGAAAGAGCTGGAAAATGTGGGCAGGTAAAGAACTGCAGCCAAGAGCATTAGGAGAAATGCCAAAAATTGAAATGCATGGTCAGCTCAGAGATGAACTCATTCTACTCCGAGCTTCTCCTATCTCACAGGAATCCTCCATTTCTGAATAGGCAGCATGCTCAGTCTTCTTGTAGTTATTAGTAGCTAATAGGATTTTACTGTGGCTTAGAACCATTCAAGATCGCTGGTGTTATCATTCAACTGACCTGGCAGACAATTTTTAACTTATCAGAACCTGTGTTTCCTTATCTGGAAAAGAAATTCTAGGTGCTTCCTCCTCTACATGTTGCAAGACTCAGATAAGAGAAACTACACAAAGCATTGAAATAGCAATGGAAAGGGTATTAGGCAGTGCTGCTTAATGGAAATTAGGCTGGAGCAACAAAGGTAATTTAAGACTCCCTGGTAACTACATTTTAAGAGAGTGAAGAGTAACAGGTGAAATTTATTTTAATGATATGTGTACTCGTTACACTTGAAATATTATTACTTAATATGTGATCAACATAAAATACCATTGAGCAATTAAAAAATCCTTTTTATAGTACTGTCTTTAAAAACTATTCTAAAAACATGAGGTATAGTTGACATACTAAAAACATGCACATGTGTAGTGTATGTAACTTGATGTGTTTGGACATGTGCATACATCTGTGGTACATAGCTATAATCAAAAGAATGAATATGTCATCTCTTCCAAACATTGCTTAGCATCCCTTTTATGTAGGTAGTAAGAATAATGAATGAGATATACTTCCTTAGCACTTTTTTTTGAGACACACTTTTACTATGTGGCCTAGGCTGGGTTCTTTGCTCAAGTATTTGGTTTACGGGTTTAAGTGGGCCATCATGTTTGACATCAAAATTTTAAAGATTTATTAAGGATGATCATATACCTTGTCAGATTATGCATTACATGATGGTGTAACTAAAATGCCAGTTGTCATAGATGATGGAAGACTGAAGATGACAAGCAGGATGATAAAATGGGAAAGGACACAATCATAATGGTGGACACCAGGGATGGTCACTAGGAAGAATCATGCCCTCTCCATGTGGCTCACCAGGTAGGAGAAATAACTAAACTCTCACCATGGTGGACAGCTTCCAGACATCAGGCAGTTCTATACTTTATTTCTTAGGTTTAAAAGATACTAGATGATCCTTTGATAACTTTCCTTTCTCTGACACACATACATGTGCATACACACATGTGCATGCACACACACACATACACACAACCTCTTTTCTTCTTATTCTTTGCATTTCTAAAAGGATATCACATGAGAGGTCTTGAATTACCATTATTTTTGTGTGTGTGAAATCACAGAGTCAATGTTGATGTTGGGGGTTGACCATCCAAGGTCCATTTTCTTCCCTCCAATTAACCCTAAATTAAGCATTATTGGTGCTCGGTGAAGGTGGCAGTGAGCTCAGGAATCGGGGTGCTTGGGTCTTACCTGAATGTACAGCAGTTAGGGGAGAGAGCCGAGTTGAGACAGCAGCAGGGAGAACTGCAATAAAGAAACACCTGTTAGGGGCTGGGAAGGTGGCTCAGTGGTAGAGCGCTTGCCTTGCAATACCTGAGGCCCTGGGTTCGATTCCTCAGCACCACAGAAGCAAAAAGAAAAAAGCAGGAAGTGGCACTGTGGCTCAAGTGGTAGAGCGCTAGCCTTGAGCTGAAGAGCTGAGGGACAGCGCCCAGGCCCAGAGTTCAGGCCCTATGACCGGACCCCACCCCCAACCCCCAAAAAAGAAACACCTGTTAATGGTCTACAACTTCTCAAAGCACTCCATGGTGCATGGCCACCTAAGGGCACCCTGGGCTTTTGCAAGATACAATTTTGTCGTAATTCCAAAGTAACCACTACATACGTAAGTGTTACCCCATCTCTTAGTCACTGATGTTCATTTCCAATGAACTCAATATTCCCTATTTTGTCTTTGCCAGACTCAAAATCCACGTGCAGGTATTTGGTGTTTTGTGGTGTGAGTTGTGTGCTTTAGATCTTAATATTCTCCCTGAGAGCTGGCCCAGTGACCTGGACCTTCATTTATTATGCTTATTTTAGTCTTCTGCTTGTTTTATTACCTCTCTTTCTATGGTAGGCACTTCCTATTTGGAGGTGTGGCACTGGTAGACATTACAGTAGTTAGATGGGGAGTCCTTTGGTCAGCTTTTACCATTAACATGGCACGTACGGCCTTTCTTCTAGCTCACCTTCCTTCTCTCAACTTGCTATTTAGGCATCCTATGTCGGTGTGTGTCTTGAGAGTGGTGTCCATTCTGAGCTTCTGACAGTACCACATATGCAACTGCAGTGGCAGAATACTGTCTTGTTCCTCAAAGACATCACGTTCTGAGCTTCTGGCTCTGAAGTCAGAGGGTATGGGCCAGGAATGCAAATCGCCTCAAAATACTGACAAGGCAAAGAAACAGAGCCTTCCTTTCCTTTCTTTTTTTAAATTGTAAAGGTGATGTACAGAGGGGTTACAGCTACATAAGTCAGGCAATGAGTACATTTCTTTTTGGACAGAGCACCCCCCTCATTTTCTTCAGTTTTTCCCCTGGGTCACCAGTGTCTCGTGGGGATCACTGCTGAATTAGTTCACCACTGTTTCTGTGCTTCCCCTTCCCCTCCTCAAACTGGATAAACTATGTACAAGACAAAGAATACAGAAATAAAAAACAGTGACAAAAGGGATAAAACACAAGAAAAAAGGAAAAGAAAAAAGAATACCACAAACAGCACAATTAAAAGAAAAACCTCTTGTTTCAATTTCTTGGAGTTCATTCCAATAAGCATCATTTTATATAATCATACGCATATAGCTATTGAGTCTTTGTGATCCTCTCCTAAGAACATCTTCCTTTGGTCTCACCATGTAAATGCTTAGAGTCCTGTTTAATTAATCATGTCCAAGAGTAAATTTTTGTCTTTTACTATCCATTGGGTTTACTTGTAGATATATAGACATGTTCTAATTATTACAAATGAGGGAAATCATGCAACCTCTGTTTCATTGGGTCTGGCTTACTTCACTTCATATAATTTTTTCCAAGTCATTCCATTTCCTTAAAAATGACAGAGCCTTCTTTTCTAGAGCTGCCATAATGAAGGCAGCCCGACGCACCCTTTGCTGTTATCTAAGTGAGATCCACTTTGGACTTCTGACCTTCAGAACTGTGAGGAAATAAATCTATGCTGTTTAAGCCATGAGGTTATGTTGTTTGTAATAGTATTAATGGAAACTTGTAACAATACTATGTGTGAGTGAATGACTCTTCCTCCAAAGAAAATTCAAAACATGTTATTTACAAAATCGGCAGTTTGAATATTTTCAAAGCTGAGCAAATGAAAGCCTAAGGACAACTATGAAAGTCACATTCAAAATATTATCTTTCAATGAAAGTCTCCTCCTCCTCTTCCATTTCTTCTTCTATTTCTTTTTGTTCTTGTTCTCCTATCCTTTTTCTATTTCTCTTCCTCCTCCTCCTCCTTTTCCTCTTCCTCCTCCTCCTTTTCCTCCTTTTCCTCCTCCTCCTCTTTCTCCTCCTCCTCTTTCTCCTCCTCCTCCTCTTCTTCTTCTATTTCTTCTTGTTATTGTTCTCCTATCCTTCTTTTATTTTTTCTCCACCGCCTATTCTTCTTCCATTTCTTCTTCTATTTCTTCTTGTTCTTGTATCCTTCTTCTATTTCTCCTCCTCCTCCTCTTCTCCTCCTATACTTCCTCCTCTTCTTCTTCTTCCTCTTCTTCCTTTCTCTTCTTCTTCCTTCTCCTCCTCTTCTTCCATTTCTTCTTCTATTTCTTCTTGTTCTTGTTCTCTTATCTTTATTTCTCCTCCTCCTCTTCCTCTTCTTCCATTTCTTCTTCTATTTCTTCTTGTTCTTGTATCCTCCTCCTCTTCCTCCTCCTCCTCCTCCTCTTCCTCCTCCTCCTCTTCTTCCTTCTCCTTTTCCTCCTCCTCCTCCTCTTCCTCCTCCTCTTCCTTCATCTTCTCCTTCTCCTCCTCCTTCTCCTTCTCTCTTTTAAGCCAATAGTTCATCTATTGTAGCAAGACCCTAGAAATCATTTCCATACAAATTCACTTATTATGGATAGGTTATGAAGTCACCTGGAGAGCTAACTAAGCATGTACTGTCATTTACTTCTCTCCTGAATTTGGATAGGTAAGAGAATATAACCCTGCATACCACTGGCCCAGGAAAAGAACAGGATTAAAATATAAACTATGGTTCCTATCACTTTCTTGCAACCATAATGTCTGAAAGTCATGTCATATCTAGGAGGAGATAACAAAAAGTTTTTTCTTACCTGATAATATGGTTACTGAGCTTCCATCACCTATTGATACAAATAAATTGAAATATTTCTTATTCAATTACAATCAATAACCTTTAAATAACCTACTTAAGACTTCTCAAAAAACGAACATGACAGGTTTTAATTACAAAAAGTGGAATAAATCCCTGGTAAAACACAGCCCTTAGGACTTAACAGGCTGCCATGACTTGATTGTTCTGAAGACACTGTAGGTGATACTGGCTTTTTGGAATGCCACACAATGACAGCAAGCCAGTCACTAGAGGAATTTGAGGCCATCTTCTTGCTTTAGACGGTCCATTTATAACTAAGCCCAATTATGTACAGAATATAGAATCTATTCTCCCTTCCAAATTTAAACCAGTAATTAGAATGAAAAACAAGATTGTCTTAAAACTAAAAGGAATATTTGTACCCAATAAGGACCTTGAACTTCAGCAAGAAATCACTTCTTACCTTGATGCATTGGCAGTGATTCTTCAACATTCTCTGCCAGGAGAGGGGCTGAGAGTTCGGTGGCTGTTGGGACATACAAGAGTGGATGGCAGTCAGGTCCTAGCCCTTCCCAGCTGACCTGAGTCCCGCAGAGTGCAGAAGGACATTTACTAAACAGTCATATGAGCAATAGAAACAATTTGCCAACATTTTTCCTCCACCACAGAGAGGTAGGAATTATGCTTTTAATAACATTTTCACTGGAAAAGTGAAAATAACAACATCAGAGGATAAACAAGATTAAAATTAAAATGAAGCTAATTATTTAGAAAGAAGGAACTGACCCTACAGCATTTTGAACCTAATGGCCCGTTTATCTTAATGGCCCAGTGATGTAGAAATGGCAAATGATGACCATTGAAATATGACAACCAAATATCTTCCAACACTATTCCTCCATTATCTTCACACAATTTGTGTTGGAATGGAAAATGTCATCCATAAAACAAAAACATGAACTTACCTGATACAGGCTTTAAATAGTCACTCTCTGTAAACAGGGAGGAAAAGAAAAGATCTGTGTAAGAAAAGGATAGTTATTGTTGCTAGAGACTCTCCTATCACAAGGGAATTTTAAGGTTATAAAATATATCTCTCGGAAATTAAAAAAATATTGACTCTTCTAGGCTTAGTTTACATGACTTCACTTGACCACCAAATGTCTAGGTACTCATTAGCACAGTGTGTCTAATGACCCATGTTGGATCCAGTTGTGACTGTGCTATCTCCAATGGACTAACTCTGTAACACTCTCAAATAGGAGGCAAATACTCTTTTTACTCACAGAACAGTTTAGTGGACCTTAGAAGCTTTATAGAGCACATGTGTTTTGATGGAATTTTAATCAGGAGAGGGATAATAAAATGAAAAATCAGTCAACAATAACACAAATAGATAGGCAGATAGACAGAAATACATACATACCCTCAATTAAACTTCAATAGATGTAAGAACCTAATTCATCACTTTAATATTATGTAGGTCTTTCTGGTTGAATGTAACTAGAAAATTTGATGAGTGACCAAGTTCATTGCTCTAGATACACCCCTGCCACACGCACGCGCGCGCGCGCGCACACACACACACACACACACACACCACACACACTGCACATTGCATACACATTTGCTTTTAGCATTGATAGTATGCAGAAAATTAATCACAAGCATGGAGGACATTTGTTCATATTTCTGGACCAGTGGTTCTTAGTTGGCAGCAATTTGCTCCCTAAGGAGACATGTTGGGAGACATGGTAGGATGTCACAAGAGGTCAAAGACGCTGCCACGTGCGGGACAGCCCACCCACCACGAGGCATCATCGAGCTTCAAATATCCAGAGCCATGGTGCAGGTTGATCATAGCCATACCATTTTGTCAAGGACTTGTGATCCAGAATTCCCGGCCTGAAATCAGTCAGCAGGGCAAGCTAGGGCTGTGCTAACCTGGTCCTTTGCCCACCTGCCCTAGACTGCAAACCCGAACGCTTTACATCGTCACCCCCCACGGGCGCCCTGAATGCTTCGCCTCACTAGGGACTGGGGTCGCCTCTCCAGGAGACGTGTCAGACAGTCTGGTCCCGCCGTTTCTCTCTCTGTCAAATCCATGTCACGACTTTGCCCCCCCACATTTCTGAGCCCCAGCCGAGGTCCTCCGACCTGCCGATGGACCAAGCCGGAGGCGGCCCTGGCCTCACAGCAGGCAGGCCTGGCCCACGATCACGCAGGCCGCGCGGATGTGCTTGGCCGGGGAAGGGGGGCGGCGCATGACCTCAGCCGTGACCTGGGGGCCTCCCCTGTGCCGATGACGCCCTGTGTCTTGGCCGGGGCCGCAGGCATGCACGTGCCCGCATGCGCATACTGTCCCATGACCTCAGCCGTGACCTGGGGGCCTCCCCTGCGCCGATGACGCCCTGCGTCTTGGCGGGGGCCGCAGGCATGCACGTGCCAGCCCGCATGCGCACACTGTCACAGAGTGCCTCGCTGCCGACACAGTCCACGCCGTCCAAAGGAACCGGCCCGGGCCGGTCTCGAACCCACCCGGGCCCGGGCTGGGGCAGCGAGGCGCGGCCGCAGCGCAGCTGCCGGCTCATCACCTCGCGCCGCGCTGGTCCCACTGGGGGTGGCACACCCGCCCCACCGACCGAGCAAGGAGCCTCGCACTCGCCCGAGCACCTGCCGACCTGAGCACCTGCCCGACCTGTTCACCGCGGTGGCGGGTAGGGAAGGGCGCGGATGATGCGCGGGGAGGAGCCTGCGAACACGCATCCACCTCGTGCGCACGCGCGGATGGCCACACACGCGCGGACGGGCACACACGCGCGGATGGGCACACACGCGCGGATGGGCACACACGCGCGGGGCCACACACGCGCAGAAGGGCACACACGCGCGGACGGGCACACACCCTCAGGGTCACACACGTGTGGACGGCCACACACCCTCAGGGTCGCACACCCGCAGGGCCGCACACCCGCAGGGTCACACACGCAGACGGTCACACACCCGCAGGGTTGCACGCGTGGACGGTCGCACACCCGCAGAGTCACACACGCGGACGGTCACACACCCGCAGGGTTGCACGCGTGGACGGTCGCACACCCACAGGGCCGCACACCCGCAGAGTCACACACGCGTGGACGGTCCCACACCCGCAGGGCTGCACACCCGCAAGGTCACACACCTGCAGGATTGCATGCATGGACGGTCGCACACCCACAGGGCCACACACCCGCAGTCACACACCCGCAGGGTTGCACGCGTGGACGGTCACACACCCGCAGGGTTGCATGCGTGGACAGTCGCACACCCGCAGGGCCGCACACCCGCATGGACGGCTCCGGGGACCGTTCGTGGAGAGACCCGCCCTCGCTGGCCCGCAGATTAGAATCCAGCTTCAGAGTCTGGAGGGGTCGGGTCAGCCTAGAGTCAAGGGGGATTTGGGGCTGGGCCAGGGGCCAACGAACAAAGGCGTGGGGGGGCGTTCACGATGTCTTGAGAGGAAAATCGTGTTGGGGATGCCCCCCCCCCAGGCCTACTGTGTGACTTTGGTCAAGGCGCTTGACCTTGACTTAACTTTGGCTCTGAACCTCAGTGTCCTTATTTGCAAAACAGGGATCATGAAGCAAGCCCCTGGCAACAAGCGGTTGCCAGGATGGATGGAAAGCACGGTGCGACCAGATGGGATTCGTGCACTGAGGTCATCTCTTAGACAAAACCACTCAGCGATTTTTATACCCCTGGCTTGGAATAAACGACAGGCAATGATCCCAATGAGAATTCAGTAAATCAGCCAAAATAGCATAGTTACAAGAAATTATACACCCCTGCAGATACAACAGGATAAATGCGATCAACTTCCATAGAAGATGGGACTCCCAAGAAATTGCTGGGAAAAGCTGGATGGGGCTAATCCTTGGGGAAGGAGCTATGGACAACTTTGCTTTCATTATCAAAACAATTAATAATCAACATGTTATTAGTTAATAAGTCAACATCATAATTAATACATCCAACCGCACATGCATGATTCTAAAGCAGAATTTTTCAACCACAGCACTGTTGAACTTAGGGCTGGAATACTGTGTCGGGGAGGGTATTTAGTAGTGCTCTTAGCCTACCCACAGATGCTAGTAACCCCCTCCATTATGACAATCAAAACTGTCTTCATACATTGCCAAATGTCTGCTGGTTGGGAGACAGGGGAAATTGCCATGCAAGAAAGTCTTTTAAAAGTGCTTTTAAATCTCCTAAAGCAAAATTTATCTTTACAGGAATTTGCTAACTGGTCTATCCTCAGTTCTTCCCTCTCGTCCTCCTCCCTCTGTCTAGGGAGTCTGAGATAATCATGTGCTGAATAAGAGAGGCAAGAGCCTCCTGCCCACCTGGGCTGCTCACAACTTCCGGATGAGGCGAAGGCAAATTCTGCTTGGTGCCGCCAGGGCTTTGGTCTATCTTAAGGCAGGACTCGGAGGTCAGGGAGGCTGGAGGAGGGCTGTCCCCCATAGGTTGGTAAAGACTGTGGGGACGGTGGTTTTACAGGACAGAGCTTTCTCTTCCACCACCTGTTCCAAAACCAGTGTCAACCTCAGTGAGCAAGGCTCCTGCCAGCGCAGAGCTCACGTCCCTACCGTTACCAAGAGAGAGAGGTCTGCTGCCTGCTGACAGAAGTAGGCACAGGAAGGAAAGTTGTTTTGCTCCCTGATGGATCTCCAAGGCTTTCCACCAGTAAGATGCTTCAGATCCTACTTTCTGGCATGTTTCATTTGGAAGAATGACTAGGGGAGCAGGAGAGAAATAGATCCCATAACAAACAGAGTCAGCAAGGAAGGATCAAGAAGGGGGCCTTCCTCCTCCTCGTCTTCCTCTTCCTCTTCCTCTTTTTTTTTCCTAGCCCTATGTTTTACTCTATCATCCAAAGTGGGTCTATCAAAGACATAGCTACTCTAAGAGGTTGTTTCCCCCCACACCAGAAGGCTCGCCATGGCACCACTGTCAGCCTGATTCTAAGCAGAAGGACAAGTTAGTAGATCAGAATGAACAGCCATCAATGATCCTCGAGCAATACCATGGGAGGAAGTCTGATTATTGCCATGGTGATTATTGCCATCTGATCAGAAAAAGACTAAAGGGTATGCAAAAAGCCACATTGGATGGAAGGGAGAGAAGGTGTGAGAAGAAGGTAGGGCATGCAGGGAGGACGGCTTTCGTGCCGTCCCTCGGGACCTGTGGCCCCAGGGGCCCCGCGGTCCTTCCTTCACTGCTCTGCTGGTGCTGTGCTCTTTGGAACTCTGGGGCCCAAACTTTGTGTCGCTTCTCCTGCCGTGAGACTGAGTCTTTTCACTTCAACTCTAGAATTCTCTCCAATGTTGTTACTGTTGGCTTTTCAAGTAGACACAAGAAGAGCCTCAGCTTCTTCCTAAACCCCCCAGGGAAGAGATGCCACGCACCCTTTTTCCAGGGGAAGGCCCTGTGAAGACAAGGGCTTTCCTAGCCATCAGTGAATACACAACAAAGTGACATAGGCATTCTCTTGCGTCAGAGATGAAGGTGAAACTCAGTGGATGATTGGACAAAGTGGGGGGAAAAAAGATCAACTCTCAGAAAAGATGGAAAACAATTGACCAGAGCAGATACACCAGTGTCTTCTCAGTGTCCACAGCTGTGGGTGAGCCAGCCCGTGAGGGAGCACTACCTCAGTCCCAGAGCACTGCACATCGTCCAGAAGAATGGAGCTAGAGTCCTGGCCAAAGTGGGCCTCTCCAGAGGGGGAGACGGCTGCCCCACAGCCCAGCTGCTGGCACACGACCCGCACATCCATCTTGTCCCACAGGTCATCATACACTGTGCTCCACACGCCTTCAAAATACACCTCCACTCAGCCAGAACACCGTCCAGAACCTTCCACCAGCTGCACAACAAGCCACTCTTTGGGAGAAAGGCAGCCTCGTTCCCCACCATCCTCCTCCTCATTGCAAAAGCCAACTGTGTTCCCAGCACAGAGACAGACCCTTTACGGTGACACTGTTTAAAGTTCATGACTACTTTGTAGGGTATGATGGTCCTAGTTTTACCAAGGAGAAAACCAGATGACACACTGTTATTGGGGGACAGAATGGGACCCTCTCAGTTCTTCATAGCGCCCCCCCACTATTTTGAATGGAATTATCCATGGACACTTTATTTGACCCTATGGCGGGATATCCCAGGAAACTGTTACTTCAGAAGCATTGGATCCTCCCTCCCCACTGGTAAAAACCAACAGACACTGGCAAACGCTAGGCACACTGAGATTTTAGCCTAAGAACCTCTCCTAAATTCTTGAATAACTATTAGTGTATCACCGTTGATGTTAAATCCAGGGTATTAGAGAAAAACAAATGCCCAGAAAGTATGCACAGTGCTTATTTCCAACCTTTGCCCAACACCTCCCAGGACTTTGCTGGGTGTTATCTTATTGGCTGTCCTAACAATCTCATAGATAGTGATGCACCGCAGGTGGGGCTCAGCAGGGACCAAACAAACAGAGTTTGTTTCTTAGCTCATCTGCTCCTTAGCTATGCAGTTGCACGGACCACTAAGGCACTCTTCAAGCATTTGTAAGTGAAAACAAGACACCTACCTGAAATGATTCATGAAGCAAATACAAGTAGTGCCCAGCAGCACTCAAGAGATGGAAGTTTTTATTATCTCCATCTTAGAAGTCAGAAATAAGATAAATGAAGGGACAATTACAGATTCCCAAGTCTGTGGGTGAATTGGGTTCCTGTGGCCTTAACATGTCCTTGTTTATATCTCGGGGTGGTGGCGCGGGAGGGGGGGTGGCTACCTATGCAGATTCGTGGGATGTGCGCATGTCTGAAAATGAAACCCAAGGTTTTGAATATTCAAGAATCTCCTGGAGTGCTTACCATACACTCCTCAACTTTTAAGAACACCTGAGAGGGAGACCGTTAAGTCAAATCTTTAATGCATGTGAACAGTGAAGACAGAGAATGATCTGGCAGCATTCCTAGCTTGTCTAGCAGAGATAAAACTGGAGAGCCTCTCTCTCTGAAGGCCCATGACATGCCTTGCTCAGTGGGGGCCATGTGTCCCCAGGGGCTATCACACCTTTACCCCAAGATGTCACCCACTTCCCACTTCCTTCCTTCTGCCATGTCTGACTGGGGCTTACCTTCCTGCTGCTCCACAGGCGTGCCTTCGGGGCTTCTCTTGGTGCGTCCCTTCCCCAGCCTTCCTCCAGATCCTCTGACACCTCTCCTGTAGCCAACTGAGGTACATCAGCCACATTAGCGTCTCACCAGCGAACTGAACACCGCGGGCTCCCAACAGCTCCAGATCTACTGGAATCTGATTTTTATAAATTCACAGTAGAGATCCTATTGTGGAACCAAACGTGGGAAGCCATGTTCTGGAATCAGCTCCTGCCTGGGGGAGGGGGAGGGCAGGCGTGGGGTTGCAATCAGCTCCTGCCTGGGGGAGGGGGGAGGGCAGGCGTGGGGTTGCAATCAGTTCCTGCCTGGGGGAGGGGGAGGGCAGGCGTGGGGTTGCAATCAGCTCCTGCCTGGGGGAGGGGGGAGGGCAGGCGTGGGGTGGCATGGGATCCTTTCACCAGCTATGTGTTTCTACCCGTTCTTCCAACTTTTTTTTTGGGGGGTCCGGTCGTGGGGCCTGAACTCTGGGCCTGGGCGCTGTCCCTCAGCTCTTCAGCTCAAGGCTAGCGCTCTACCACTTGAGCCACAGTGCCACTTCCAGCTTTTTTCTTTTTGCTTATGTGGTGCTGAGGAATCGAACCCAGGGCCTCAGGCATGCAAGGCAAGTGCTCTACCACTGAGCCACCTTCCCAGCCCCCCGTTCTTCCAACTTTTTGCCAGTCTCCATTTCATTGTGAGTCTCTAGTTATCTACAGTTGATCTTGAAGCATTTTGAGTAAGATACAGCTTGTATATACGTATGACCAATCTGATTTAAGCACTGCATATACATGTACCATGGTGAGGCGCCTTTGAATAATGAACATGCACTTCCACAAAAATAAATAGCAGGAAGGCAAAACGTGTCCTGTCTGGGGCGTGGGTACTAGTGGGGAAGAAGAACAAAGAGGCTGGAGAAGGATGAATCCATATTAAGGAGGCAAACTGCTCAAGACAATACAGTGCAAATTATCCGGAATGGGACCTGTGGCTTGCCACTGCCCTACACAAAGGGCTCATTGCTGTCCTGCCTGCTGATGGGCCAGCCCAGGGCCAGGGTCCTGGGGTGCCACCACACAGACGTCAGTCTGGCCCTGAGACAGTGAAGGGCAGCATGGAGCAGTGGAACTTCCCAGCAGGCATTCAGGAAGAGTGATGATGCCACGTCATTGTTTCACCCCAAGACTGAGCCTCATGTGGACCCTGCTCACTGCCTCACCCAGGATCCCAGAAAGCAACCCGTGGGGGATGGGCCAGAGAAGGGGGAGAGGACCACCGTATGCTTCTAATACATTTCCTCAGCTTCCGCAGTCGGTGAATGGTTTACTGGATTGAAAACATGAAGCATGAGAAGTGAAATACTAAGGAAAAACTAGATCAGAAGGGACAGGTGGTGAAGGGCTTCTAATGCCTGACCAGGGTCTTAGAACTTCATTCTATAAGAAAAATGGAGCTAGTGGGCATTTTTGCAGAAAGGAATGAAATAATCAGGGTTTGAAGTTTTGCAGAAGGAGTGAAATAATCATGTTTTACACCATGAGCCATGAGGAAGGTGAGCCCCAGTGAATGTGCAGAATGGACTCCTAGGTAGAAGAGGCTAGAGGTGGGCGAGGAAAGGAAAACACTGGGGACAGAGCCAAGAGGTGGCAATGGGAAAAGACTCAGGAAGGGAGTGGCAGATATGTTGATTAACAATGCTAAGACTGGCCAGCTAAGAGGAAGGACTCAGAGCAATGACAGGACCAGGAGAGGCAAGCCTGTGGGTCAGTGAAGTCAGTGTTAGAGACCATGCTCTTGATGGTGTCTATGATCTGACAGAATTGTTCAGTCAGGAAGCAGATGAGATCATTGAGGGGAACGTGCATAGAGCGTCTGCAGACTTCAGATGGGAAGAAGGAAGATGGCTGGTGAAGGTGAGACAGGAAGCCAGGAATAAAAGCAAAAGGCTGAGCCACACACACAGACAAGGAGAATGATGGGTCCGGCCACAGGGACTCTCAGACGGAGGCCACTGGCTTGGCAGTTACAGACCAGTGGACGTCTCTGCTTAGTAGAGAGGAGCTGGAGTGGAGACAAGTGAAGGGGGCTAGGGCCTAAGACATGAGATCAAGGCACCGTGGCTACGCAGTCAGAATCTGCCTCTGGAGAAAGAAAGAAAGGTTTCCATAAAGAACGGTAGCAGGCAGGAGTAAACCCGACCTCCAGCCTTTCTGTGTCGTTGTGTTGTGTTTTTCTCTGTTTTCTGGTCAGGTCTTGCTATGTAGCCCAGGCTGGCCTCCAGTTCACAATCCTCCTATCTCAGTCTCTTGAATGCTGAGGTAAAAGACCAACACCCCCATGTCTGCTTTTGGCCTTTTATTTTTTTTAAGGAAGTGTGGGGATTAGACCCAAGACCATATGAGTATGAGTGTGAATGTGTGAATAAACGAGAGGTGTGTGGGCCGGAGTGTGACAAGTGTGAGTAGAAGGTGGTCCTCAGAGCTCTCAGGAGAGCAAGGTGGTGTGCCACCTGTTGGCATCTGACAGGAGGTACATGGCATGGCAGGGTAGCTGTGGACATCAACAGTCACCACCTGGCTGGGGTTCCACAGTGAAGAACAGAGAGGACAAACCGGGCCCGTGGGAGAGTGGGAAGGAGGGACCTGTGGTCCCCACAGACAGAGCCTGGGAGCAGCGTAGCAGCCCACATAAAGGACTGTAGAGACTATTTAACAGCTTAATTTGGATTGTGTTAACCAGACAGAGGCTACTCCAGGGAATGATGAATATAACTCTTTCTTGGGTTGCCCCTCAGCCTCACTGTGCAGATGAAGTGCTCTACTATTGAGTGAGCTCTCGTGGTTGCAAGTGCCCCGCATCCTTTCCAGTGGCATGTGACCGGCAGAGGGTTGGTGTGTTCCTGGAAGATCATACCGGGGCCTGTTGTTCCTGAGCCTCTTGTACAATCCGCAGGAGCCTAACAAAGCCTATTGGGTTATCTCATGTCACTAATCCTGAACTCCCGGAAGCTCAAGAACGCTTCCCTACACATGCGTGTGCGCGTGCACACACACACACTGGAAAACTGCAGGAGGGTAGCAGACACATCCTGGGGGAGAATATGAGAACAGGTGTGGCCAAAGGTCACAATGGTGGCAGGGACAGAGGAGAACTCTGGGAGCCAGGAAGAAAAATAGCCCCATTGATACCTGAGACTCATAAATGGTGGTGACTTCCAAGATCAGTTGAGCCTCTCAAATATCCTGAGATTTGCAGTAACTTGGGGAAAACAATCTCATAATCCTCTTATTTTTATTTTGGGAGGGTCTTCTGGGCAGAGATTAGTCAAGAATGCAGTGTTTTTACTCACTGTTGCTCCATTCCCTGACTTGGCCTGTCTATGCGGGTCTCTTATTTTGCTGAGTGTTCCAAGACATGGGGCCACAGCAGGGGCGTGCATCCCCAGCATGGTGAACAGCTCTGCTATGTGGTAAGAAGCTGGCAAATTTTAAGGGAAACGGAATAAGACCAACAAGAGAATGGAGTGTTGTAACTGGATTATGAATGAGTCCTACTCAATCAGCCCTCACGCAGGCTGATTGCTCCATTGGAGGTCGGAGTGAGACTCAGGAGGGTTGGGACCAGGATTGAGGCTTACCCTTGATCTGAGAGACTCACCTAATTGTCCCCAGTACATTATCCTGTGGCTGTTTGCTTATAAACTTAAGAAAACCATCAGAGGAGCCCCCGCCC